TTTCCATGCTTGTTGCTATATAAATTGTGCAGGTGTGTTTATTATTTATCCAGATATATGTGAAAGGCTGAGCATCTCCCACTGTGCATCAAGACAGTAGCAACTCCTCTTGCCTTCAGTTACACCCTCAAGATTTCACCAGTCTGTCTCCTTGCATCTACCAACACTGCCTCAACACGTATTCACATAAAAGTTCTCCCAATTTCAGTGTAAGGGTGAAACCATATGAATGGAAGGTGATGGTGCTTTAGGGCACTAACAATGAGTGAATCCCTTGAATACCTATTCACACATAAGAGCCACTGAATTCAGTGGAGATTACTTTTGGCAAGCAGGTACAGGATTGCAGCCGAAGTGGTTGTATCCAGTGTTAATCCTACTTAGAGCAGACCCGGTGATATGGCTGGGACTCAAGTTAGGCTAATGTTGGATATGCCCTTAAGAGCAGATTTATTCTACACATCTTTATGTAGAAATAAGACATCCTTGTAGCCTCAGGCTCCTATCCGACTGACACTCAGTAGGAAGTAAGCCCCCATGAGGACTTCTGAGTGCACAACCCAACCCCAAGCATGGTTGCTCAGAAATAATGGCGAGAGGATCTTCTTCCACGTGGTTGCTGCACTGGACTGCAGCCTTACAGTCGGACCAGGACTGGCGGGCTTTGTGGATTCCCGGGGTGTAGCCGACATCGGTCCCGCTTAAGCGCCACTCATTCCAGTGGCTCCATCCTAAGCAGGGCTAACATCGGGCACGGACCACTACTTCCAAGCCGGCGAGAGCGCCCAAGGGGCGAGCGAGAGGGGCGATCCTTCCTGGGGGCCGGAAGGCGAGTCCCCAAGGGACACCCCTCTTGAAGTCCGCCCGATGGCCCGGTCACAGCTCCGCTGCTCCGCGGGGTTGGCCGGACACGCTCCGGAGGGCGGCCGCGGCGGCGAACCGTCCCACGCCTCCTCGCCGCTGCAGGGAAATGTCCGGGCGCCCGCAGCTCGTGAGGGCGAGTAGGCGGCCGAGCGGCGGCGCCGGCCCGTTCCCGGTGCCTGCGTGCGAGAGGGCGGGAATGACGGCAACAGCCGCGCGGCGTTGGCGGGTGAGTGTGAGGAGTTTCCCGCGGAGCGGCGAGCGCGGCGTGGGCGCGGAGGGCAAGGCGGTGGCGTGACTCGGCTTGGCGGCTGGCTGCACAGCGTGGGAGCGCGCGAACGAGCGGGAAAGCCGCCCAAGCGGCGGAAGAGGGAAGCGGCGGAGACGGCCGGAGAAGGGGAAGGGGGCGTGCGAGCGAAGCGCACCCGGTGAGCGGAGGGGCGGCCGCGCGCGCGTCCGAGGGAAGGGGCACGCACGCAAGGCGGGGGAAGGGCGCCGGAGCGAAGCGTGCGGGAAGAATGGATCCGCTGGATCCCTCTGCGAAACGGGGTTTGGCCATGTGGGTAGCCGACGGGAAAAGAATAAGTCTAGCCATAGATCAAGGCACGCGTAGGAGTAATTGAGCGCGCGCGGGAGAGAGAGCGTCTCTGCGCACAAGGGTGCTTGGGCTCGTGGCTAATGCCTGTCACCGTTTCGCTGGAGGGGTAAGCGGTCCTGTGGCCAAGGAGGGCTCGGGCCGTCGTTAGACCTGGAGTGCCGAAGGGGCTGAACTTTGGGGCTCAGAGGTCCAGGGCCCCGTTCGGCAGAGCAAGGAGGAGAGGCCTCGTGTTCACTAGGGCCAACGTACGGCGCAACGCACTGCGCTGGGACAGGTCTGGCAAGGATGGCGGGACGAAGGGTGTCCGATGACTTTTGCGCTGAGAGCGACCGCGGCGAGGCGAGGACACGAGTTGGTGCAGGTGCGAAATGAAGAGAGTTGCCTGGTTTAAGCCGCGCTGCGCGGGCTGCCAAAGAGGATAAGAGCGAGCGGAACAGTCGTGCGCGCAAAGGGAGATCAGCAGCTGCGCTGGCAGTTTGGCCTCGCCGGGCGCGTGTCTGCGAGGACAAGCAAGTCGAGCCGTGGGGCGGGGAGGGGGTGTTCAAGGAGAGCTTAAGGCAGTCCCCGCCGCAACTCGGAGCCTGCCGGGACCGCGGCGCCCATCCTGTCGACCAGAGGTGATGGGAGTTGCAGCCCAACGCCTCTGGAGGGCGCCAAGACAGAGCGGGGGAAACGGTTAGGGTGAGGACGAGCGTGCGAGAGAACTAGCGCGAGCGGGTTTCTAACTTGGCCGGAAAGAGGAATTAAAGAACGTGGGGACTTGTGTCACACGAGAAGGAGCCTTTCCCCTTCAGGTGGCAGGTGTGTTCGCGCGCGCGCCACGAGAAAGAAAAGACGGGAGCGCACGGAAGGGCTGGTGGCGCCTGGCACGGACGTGCGCGCTTGCCTGGTGCGTGGCACGTGACTGAGCGGCGCTCACGGTCCCGTTTCCTTCCCTCGGCAGGGGAGGAGCAGCAAGGGCGGCGGGCGCGTGGCATGAACTTGGAGGGCGGCGGCGGCGGCAGCGGCGGCGGCAGCAGCAGCAGCAGCAGCAGCGCGGGCATCCACGGCGCCAGTGGCAGCAGCAGCAGCAGTGAGAGCGGCGGCGGGATGAGCTCCGTGAGCTGCGGCAACGGGAAGCTCCGCCAGTGGCTGATCGAGCAGATTGACAGCAGCAAGTACCCGGGCCTGGTGTGGGAGAACGAGGAGAAGAGCATCTTTCGCATCCCCTGGAAGCATGCGGGCAAGCAGGACTACAACCGCGAGGAAGATGCGGCGCTCTTCAAGGTACTGGGGAGCTCCCAGAGCTGGACGGTTCCCGGGTGGCGTCTCAGTGGCGGGCCAGGCACCCAACGGTTGTTTCAAATGAGGAGCTAGGGACACCAGTTCCAGCCAAGCAAGTGCATTCTAAAGTTTGTGTATGAGTGACCCCCATCAAAAGGAAATCCTTTCTCCCCGAGTATGTTTATTACCGGATTTTCGTGCACGCATGAACTTATGAATGTGAATGCTTCTGTTTATGCAAGGATAGTAAGCCTACTGTTTGGCAGGAGCAAGGAAGGGAAAGCCTGCTGCGGATGAGTGCATGAGAGCAGGGCTAATTTTTGAAAACCAGGGATAGTTCACACATGAGCAGTTTGAGCACATGGTGACTGGAAATTGAACAGTAATTTTTTTTTTAATGGAGGCAGTTCTCAGTTTTAGTGATGTACAAGGATGAAGGTGAGCTCAGTGTATGTGCAATGTTCTACAAGGTAGGTGGAAGAGAGACAGGGAGCGCCAAGGCCTCACAGCAAACTTAATGACTAATCTGCACCCAACTGGCACCGTTAGAAGTTGCTGAATTAACAAGCCAACCAAACTACTTTCCTGTCACACTTGGAAGGTTTCTTCTATGTCCCATAATTTCCTTTCCCTCATTTGATCAACTGCCCCAAGGCTTGCCACATTAGGGCTGCAGCCCTGCTCTCAATTGTACACCCTTAACATCCCATAGATATTAATGGGTCTTATTTTAAATGGGTTGGCAGGCATTGTCATTAAGTTCACCAAGTACCAAAACTGCTTAGTAGGGCTTTCTATCTGGAATTCCTTTATTTATTATTATTGAACAACATTACCTGGAGCAATGCTGTTCAGTTTCTCCTGGAATGAATTTAGCTAATTATACTTAATTAGAAGTAATTTTAAAAACTAATTCTTTACACCACCGATAGAATCCAAATGGCACATCTTTTCCTTTCAACTCAACAGTAATGTAACTTGTGAATAGAACTCCCATTATACCATGTCTTAAAGCAAATGAGTAGACCAAAAACCTGTCTTGGTTTTAAAAAATCTTTTAGATTCTGCAGTTCTGAGAGTCCATTGGATGGACTAGACTCAGGGAAGGTTTAGATGTTATTTTCTGAAAACCGTAGGTTGCATCCAGATTTACACTGGATCAGCTATACTGGTGGAAGTGGACTTCCCACCTTTTAAGAAACAGAAAAGATTCCAGGTTATGACGTAGCAACCTGACTTTGTGCTGAAAAACACATAGCAACTCCATGCTGTTTTCCAGTGAAGTGACTTGGGGCAGGGAATGTACAGGTTTTGAATACTGTATAGCATCCGATTCTTCCTGTAGAATTAATAGCAACTATGAAGACTGCATTTCATTCTCTTACTGCTTTTTTCTCTCTGCTGGATCTAAACTATGCCTGCAGTTTATTCTCTGTTGTCTGTCTAACTTTACAGGGTTCCCTGATGGCTACACTCCATTTTCCCTCCTGTAGCCCTAAAAGTCTCATTCAAGGCTTAGTTACTGGCAGTAAGCATTTCAAATTACAGTGTGCTCATATATTAAAAATATCGGGCACCGCCCTTTCTGCCTTTGGCTCAGGACCTTCTCCTCTGTGCACCACTGAAGCAGGAAAATAGCAAATATGCTTATCATTAGACAGTTTGAATCACTGATTATAGATTCACATTTTGTTTGATGCAGTTTTAGTTTGTTAACCACTGCCAATATTTTTAGGCTTGGGCTCTGTTTAAAGGAAAGTTCAAAGAAGGCATTGATAAGCCAGATCCTCCCACTTGGAAGACAAGGTTGCGCTGCGCATTGAACAAGAGCAATGACTTTGAAGAACTGGTTGAAAGAAGCCAGCTGGATATATCAGATCCATACAAAGTATACAGAATAGTACCTGAAGGAGCAAAAAAAGGTAGGGCAGGGGAAGAACGGGTAAATGGGACTATAACCATTCCAAGCAATTAAATTTGGTCATATGAACTCTTTTGTACACAGATGCAATAAACTGAAAACATTTAAGCTCTATTTGCATGCTACTCTCATGTAATCTTGAACTTATGTTGGCATGGGGAGAGTAGGAACACACGGTTGACCCTGCCCTTTCCGTAGGGTTCCCTGCAACCCATTTCCTGTAGTCCATCATATGTTCAGGCTGAACTTCTGTGGAAGGAGCCTGCCACAACTGACAGCAGAACCAGTAGGTGCATCTCCCCTTTCCTCCACCTTCCCACAACTGGAACATTGTGCGTGAGAACAAGAGAATAGAGCTTTAGTGAATTCAAAGTTTGGATAGCCAAGAATATCCTGTCAGAGTTTATCCTAAGCTATGATATGATTAGGACAATTTTTCATGTATTTTATGTCCTATTTTGGTGGCAGGCCGCTTTCAAATGACATCATGCTGTATTTCTCCCCCTCAATTTCTAAAGCATACATGTGAGCCTCATCACTATGAAGTACCTTAGAGCATTTTGGGAAAAGTGGGACATGGAAAGAAAATATGCCATTTTTGTAAAAAAGCTACTTATCTCACAAGTTGTCATAAACTACCCTGTTTCATCCACATATACCCAGGTGCAAAACAGCTAAGCATGGAAGATCCACAGATGATTATGAATAATGCTTACACCATGAATTCATCATACTCTGCGCTACCATCTCAGGTATAGAACATGCATTTATTTTAGTTTTCCATGCCAGAAGGTGAAAATGTACAGATACTGTACCTGTTTCATGTTTTGATTCATGGCAAGATTAAAGCACAGGAAAGAAAGAGAACTGAAGGAATATTCTCTCCAAAAATCAATATAGGTGCTTCTGCAATCAGAAGCTTTGTATCCATAGTAGTACTCTTTTCCCATTTTGTTTTGTTTTGCTTTGGCTTTATTACTGTTGCAGTGCTAATGTTCATATGTCTCCTATACTTAAATCCCCCTGTTACTGTTTAAACTTTTAAGAAGAATAAAACACTTCTGAGTTTGTGCAATTGCATTAGTCAAATATGCTTGTCTACCACAGATAGGATCTACACTTCTATGAAATGTTTAGGGAACAGCCTCCAGGTAATAGTAATATTTTGGTCACATATTGAAGACTTGGAGGTTTCTCTTTAAAATTATTTGGTAGCAAGGCTATGAAAAACTTTCCTGAGGCTCCTCAGAGATGCTGTCATTGATAGAGTGAACAAGAAGAGACTTGGTGCAAGGCAGCCTTGCCATTCTGTGGGAATTCAGTAGGAACATTCTGTATACCGTCCTTGAGAAGGACACAAAGCTTCAGTATTTGGAACATCGAGAGATTAAGCATGGAGTTTGTCCATCTAAATCAGACAGTCCTTCTATTGGACAGATGGAATTAAGTAGGTTCAGTTAGTGTGGATTCTAAGAGGGAAGTGGCAGGATCTCTTCTTTTGTTTTTAGTTTGTTGGTCCAACCATATGGAAATTGGAGAATTACAACTTGGACTGGCATCACATACCAGGACTGAGCCCTTTCAACTTAATGGCCCTTATTTCTGAATGTACTCCTAATGTGGACTGCACTTTTGATGTGCAGAGAATGTGATACCCTCCAGATGCTTGGGACTTCGGCTCTCATAATCCACAAGCATTGGATATGCTAATTGGGTCTGATGGGAGTTGTTGTTAAAACACATCTGCACCCGCCCTGGTGCTAGTGATAGCTTTTTCTGTCTCCAGAAAAAAGTCATTACTGATTTGAAAGCCAGCTCTATATTAAGGGCACAATATTATTTATTTATTAATTATTTATTACAAGCATTTATATCCCATCCTTCCAACAAGCACTCAGGACGGCTTACAAAATATAAAAGTGCAATGTAAAATGTCAATTATTAAAACAATAGAAAGCAACACATCATGAATTTAAGAAAAGGAGGAAAGGAATGGAAAATGTAACTGTGAAGAGAGGAAAAAGAAAACCTAAAACATCTAAAACCCTTGATTATTAAAATAATGGTTGAATAAAAAGGTTTTTACCTGGCACTGGAAAGAGTAGGGAGTCGGTGCCAGGCGGACCTCTCTGGGGAGCTTTTTTCATAGTCTGGGTGCCACTGCAGAGAAGGCCCTCCTCCGGGTAGACACCCTCTGTACTTCCTTCAGAGAGGGTTCCCGGAGCAAGGACTCCCCCACCGATCTTAAGGGGTGTGAGGGCATATAGGGAAGGAGGCGATCCTTCAGGTATTCTGGACCTAAGCTGTTTAGGGCTTTGTCGGTTAATACCAGCACCTTGAATTGGGCCCGGACTTCAATTGGGAGCCAGTGTAGCCGATAGAGGACCAGCGTTATATGAGAATAACGGCCAGCCCCCGTCAGCAACCTGGCAGCTCTATTTTGTACCAATTGAAGTATCTGGACCGTTTTCAAGGGCAGCCCCACGTAGAGCGTGTTAGAATAATCCAACCGGGAAGTTACCAGGGCATGAATCACCGCTGCTAGGCAGTGCTCGTCCAGGTAAAGATGCAGCTGATGAACCAGCCAAAGCTGGAGGAAAGCACTCCTCGCCACTGCTGTAACCTGGATTTCCAGGGGTAGCTCTGGGTCAAGGAGCACTCCCATGCTGTGGACATATAATAATGTTATATTATTTTAAGGGCACAATATTTTCTCTGCACAGAGAAAAGTCTCATAAGCAGCATTCTTTATCCAGTCATGTCTAAATATGCATGGAATAGCTGATCACAGCTAAATATAGATATATATATTTTGATAAAATATGCAGGTACCAAGCTACATGATGTCTCATGACCGTAACTGGAGGGACTATGTTCCAGAGCAGTCACACCCTGATATTTCGTACCAGTGTGCAAGTGTTCCTTTTGCAGCTCGCAATCATCACTGGCAAGCTCCAGCATGTCAGAATGGTAAGAGTAGCCCAGTATTTCACACAGGGTAATGGATCCTCTTTATTTATACTGTTAAAGAAGTCATGGATGCTTCCTGACTTATGCTTATACTCTATTTGTATATAGTTGTGAACATGGAAAAACTAAGTAAGTGGATTTCCTCATTCGCTTCAAGGGAGGACATGACTCTGACATGCATCCCGTTGGTGAAGGCTTCTAGCTCTGCTTTTATTTATTTATTTATTTATTTATTTATTAAAACATTTTTATGCCGCCCCATTCGCCGAAGCCTCGGGGCGGCTTACAACATAGATAAGATAGGGGCGGCTTTGCCTACAGAAGGGCCCAAGTTCTAGCCCTGGCATCTCCAGCAAGTGCTGGGAGATCCTCCTTCCTGAAATCCAGGAGAGCCGCTGCCAGTCAGTGTCAACAGCACTGGGATAGATGGACAAAGAGTCTGACTCAGTGTAAGGCAGCTTCTTGTGGTCCTTTGTGTGCATGCAGCTCCCCTCTCCATTGAAGTGAATGAACAAATGGGGAAACATCTCTCAATATGCTGAAGGGAACGGTAATAGCAACAGTGAGAGCTGGGGTACAATGCAGCTCTGTCTGAACCACAGTTAAGAGAAAGGCAATACTTGCATGTCTCATTCCCACTGAAATCAATTGGTCATGGAAGTGGTTAATGTTCTGAGGTCTTGCGATGCTTAACCAAATACATTGAGCACTTGGAACAAGAAAACCATACAGTTTCAGTAGACACTTTGCTTTGCTTTACTATGCAAATTCAAAAAGAAAACAAAACCCAAGTGCAACAGAGTATAAGGGAAATGAATGGTGGATGTAAGGAGAGCTTTTATAGTACTGAAAAAACTATTCTGTCATTCTTCAGTACTTTATAAACTTGGAGAGTTTATAATTGAACCTGTCCAATAAAAGAGACTATATGCATTTATTTGTAGCTTCCATCCTATTTATGCTTATTCATGAGTAAAACAAATTGGCTTCAACAGATTGCAAAGTTAAGCTTTTATAAATCTCAGAGATCTTAGTGGGGAGAGCTGAGTACATGTTAAACTTTTTGACCAAGGAATGGAACTTAAACATTCTTAATTTGGGTAAAATGTGTCCTGAAAATCAGCCTACAATTTAGGCTGCAACCATATGCAGACTTACATGTGAATAAGCCCCACTGAACTCAGGTGGGCTTACTTCTACATAGATATATGTTAATATTTCTCAGAAAAATCCCTTTATTGGTCTAGTTATTTTAAAAGGACAGATAATTCCTCAAAGGGCATTGTATACTATATTAAATATACTTAGGACACAATCCTAAGCTTTATAACTTCCAGTGTGACCCAGACAGCATGGCTGTCTGGAGTATGCTGGATGTTGTAGGACTTTTTTCTGTGCCTAACTTGCACTGGGCTGGGCCATTAGCTGCTTATGGAACTCCAGTGAATACAGTCAGATATTTTTGACATGGGGCAATATTACTGTTATGCTAATGACTACAAATGTATACTCAAATGCTAATATTTGCAGATTGTCCTTGCACAAGCAGAGCATTTTACTGTTTAAAAAGTGTGGGGTAAAGACAGATAAAACAGTTAAAGAAAAGTTGCAGTGTGTTCTCTATCAGTGGTTGGGGGATGGCTTCACACTTTGCTTGATAAGCATGCACACCAACAATCCGAACATAAGAGGGGATGTGTTTCCTGTGTCCCTGGGTCTTCATATCCGGCACCACCGATTAATCCCCACCTTAGTGTGGACTGTAAGTGCCATATGTACCATGGTTTGCTTATACCAGGGACAGGGAACCTCCAGTTCATGGGACTAATACTGCCCATGGAGCCTGTGGATTCCTCCTGGGACAAGGCCCTGCTGTTATCTTTGGCTAATGGATTTTCCCTATGCACTGCACACTGATTCCAGGCTGAGGTTTGGAGATAGTATCTGAGAAGTAGAAGTGTGTGTAGCTGGGGACTTGTTCCAAAGCCAGCCAAGCCTTCATTCTTTTTTTTTCCTGATGGGGACAACAAATAGTGCACGGAAGAGATGCCCAATTGGGTCAATGCTGGCAGAGCTGCAGTCTGTCTCTGAGCTCAGTTCACAGAATGCAGTGCCTTTCAGAGAAAGCTAAGAAGGGCCTCATGGGGAGGCAGGGTGATGACACTGGGGGGCATATCCACATGTCATCTGACCGCGCAGAGCCTGGGCAGGGCAAAACTCACCCCTAGTTCATCTGTTCAGACTTCTCCTTATTCAACCATATAAACTATTTTAAGGCATTGTGTGCATAGGAGAATTTAAAGCAGGAGTGCTCCGTTATTACACAGGCAACTTTGCTCAATTTATCATGAGCAGAATTAAGGTGGACATTGTAGGTTGGTGTTTTCTTAGGACAGGCATGGGGGCCCTTTGGCCACAAACAACTTGCTGGAGTTTTCTAGGTAGTCAGTTTCCTCCTGACCTCCATTCCCTCTTACACCTAGGAAAAACCTCTTATTTCCCATCCGCCCTGATCAGAGATATTAGTGCTCTTTTTGATTGGAAATAAGAGCTTTACCTTGCCAGGAAGAGGTGCCACAGTCAGGGAGCTGCTAAATGATTCAGCCCTGCCCACTACTGCGTGGGTTTAAGAGTTGCTCATGCAAAAGGAGACGTGCCTGTTTGAGTGTGAGACTCACCTTTGGGCCTTTGGTCATGCCCACAGATGGACTGCAGCTCCTTAGACCTTTCTTAAATTGGAATTTGTTCTTGGACTAAAAAAAAATCCTCACCTTGTCTTAGGGCACAAAAATGCTCTGACAAGTAGAAGAGGGAGGTTGTAGTTGTAGTGCCCTCTTCTGCATGCTAAAGTCCTGATTGAGATCAGGCCCTTGGCCTTAATCAGTGGGACTTATTTCTGGGCAAACACATTGCGCTGAAATACTAAATATGCTACTGCAAAGTAAGTTCCTGAATTCCACAGAATTTCAATTAAACATGTGCTGCCATTCTCCCCCTGAAGCCAGGCAGGGACTTTAAGCAGCTGCAAGGTGCTGCTTAGTGCGAAAACATATAGGAGCACCAAGAGACCCAGCAGACCCGCCTACTGATGCAACACTGGTGATCGCATTAGCACTGGACTGTCCAAAATTACTGATGGAGCACCAGCAGGGATCAGATCCCCACTGGGGAAGTTCCCTTTACTGTGCTATGTTTGTTCTCAGGCTGGAATCATGTCAGGTGGCTGAGTCGTGGGATTGTTCTTAGGCAGACGTGTTATCAGAAGCCAAGGTTTGTAAAGTACCCTGAAAATTCTGCTGAGGGCACATAGACAGCATTTAAAGAAATAAAAGAGATTCAAGTCAAAAGGGACAGTAGGTTTCTCGGACTGGGAAAATGGTGTGCACACTTGTGCAGAGGCTGGGGGAGCACTCTAGGGGATTGGGACTGGTGGCAGCATGGTGCAAATAAACTTTTTTGGTTTGTGAAAACAGGTTGTCAGGTCACTGGAACCTTTTATGCTTGTGCACCACCTGAGGCACAGACTCCTGGGATCCCAATAGAGCCAAGCATAAGGTCTGGTGAAGCTCTTCCACTGTCAGGTATGTAAACTGTTCAGCATTTTGCATGTCACAATGACTTTTTGGGAAAACTCTCATAACTTTCCAGATATGCCCCTCAACTTTTGCAAACAAGGGGACAGAATTGAAACTTCATCAGTGTTTGCTTTTTCATATATGTTTTTCTTTAAGAAATATAAGTTGAATGGAGAGCATACATAAACTTTGATGACACCCCTTTTATATGTAGTATATAAACACGAACAATGTACACAAACTGACACGGTAAATGAGGAATTCTGCCAGTCAGCATGCTGGATTTCCACTTGCAAGCTCATCGTCCCAGCTGGGTAATGTGTCTGTTGGGCAGTCAGTGTAGAAAAATGAGGTGACCAGTGAGGGACCCGAGAGAGAGAAAGAAGTGCTTTCTCTGTGACAGCCTCCATTTGTGGCTTTCCCTCAGTAGCCAGGTTTGCTTGAGGTCAGTATGCCTTCATTTCCTGGCCTTTTAATGTATTTTTCAATCTCCAGTCTCTTTGACTGTTTTATTGCATTTTATTCATATATTTTTGTTTAATTTTTTTGCTAATTGCTCTTGGGAAGGCCTGGAAATTCCACTCGGCAGCTATGTGAATTTACCCAAAATACAAAATATTTTAACAAAATACAAAATATTTTAACCAGCAAGCCTATAAAATATGTCTGACCAACATACATCAGTTGATGATTTACTATACTGAACTGCCAATATGTGGAATCGCCTGTTGGTTCTCCTCTTGAGTACATTGTTCATGTAAATGTGCACAATCAACTGTGCCTATGTACATTTATCAGCCAGTTTCCATTCATCCCTACCTATACATGCTGATAGGCAACTGCAGGTCTGTACTCCTTCAGTACATGGATAAACTTATTTTCAGTAGCTTAAGAAAACACAGTGAGATTCTGATAAAAAGGCAGCTTTGCTGGCTAATTTTAGCTCTTGCTGTCTGGGTCGGCAGCTTGGCAGTTATTACTCGCTTCCTAAAACAAGGAATTGCTGCCTATGAGCTATCAAGCACTTTGTGTTTAGAAGCTTCCAAGCCCTAGAGTCTCACCAGTTATTGGAGGACTTGGATGGGAGGTATCCTGTGGACAGCTGGTTGGCCACCATGTGAACAGAGTTCTGGAGTAGATGGTTTGATCCATTGGTCCTTCAGAGCTTCAGGTAAAATGCAAATTGTGTCTTACCCTGAGGGACTCCAGAGGTGACAAAAAGAGATGAGGATCTTGCCATGAAGGAGTGGAAATCATGCCCCCCCCCCCATTTGCAAGAACACTCCTGCATTTGGTTTCTGCTGACAGGATGTCTTTTGACAGCTGAATATCTGAAGAGGACCAAGGGAAAAAGAGGAAGGAGGACAGGGCCATCAGCCTATAGTAAGGCTGATCATCTGTTGAGTCAACTGTGGGTTCATAGGATATTACAGTAGGAAGGGGTCTGTGAGGCTGAATCCCGTCCCCTAACAACCAGCCCACTTTGGCTTATTGCTACTGTGGTCAGTAGGAATGATGTGTGTACATGTCCAATCTTAAGTTTGATATTTTATTGTTTATTTGTAGCTGTTTAAAATTATTTTAAGTTTTTGTATGTTAATATTTTTATCAGGTTGTATTGAAGGTTTTAATTTCTATGAACTGTTCAGAACTGCTTTGTTTATTGGACAGAATAGAAAAGAAATAATTATTGTTATTATTATATACAAGCCACAACTGTGCTGACTGCTGTGAGAGAGCTTTGGCTATGGGCAGTATAGAGATGAAAATAATAATTGTTTGATATGTGGACCAAAAGTATATTCCATAAAGAACAGAACAAACAACACTAGAAGAAGTATATTCCAATCTGAATATTAAAATACACTGCATATGGCATTCCGATAAGAGGAGTTAATCTTAGTAGCATTTAGCTTTATTACACATTTTTAATGTTCACTCATTTTTGCATGCACATGAATCTTAATTTTATTCTACCTCGTAACAACATTGACATACAGGTCATTATAATTTCCACTTATAAAGGAGGAACTGAAGCTGAAAAGGTAGACTAAAATCTTATGCACATTTACTGAACACAGAAGGACTTACGTCCACAAAACTTGGAAAAGATTATGATAAATGATAAATAACTTGATCAATTAATCCTTCAATTAGTGTATAACTGGGGAGTGTATTGAACCCACATCTCTGAAGTTCAGCCTACCACTAAATCACAACTTGTCTTGCCTTGTTTGCAGATGTTATAGGATATACAACTGCTTGGTGCCAAATGTTACAATAATTTTCCATAAATATACTTTCAGATTGTCGACTGCATATCTGTCTATATTATCATGAAACTCTTGTAAAAGAAGTCACAACTTCAAGTCCTGAGGGCTGTAGGATATTTCATGGCCAAAATTATGAGATCAGCAACTTGGACCAAGTTCTGTTCCCTTATCCAGAAGATCACAGCCAGAGAAAAACAACAGAGAAGTTGCTAAGTCACCTGGAAAGGGGAGTGGTACTCTGGATGACACCGGATGGGCTCTATGCTAAGAGACTTTGTCAAAGCCGCATCTACTGGGATGGGCCTCTGGCATTTTGCAGTGACAGGCCTAATAAGCTGGAAAGAGAGCAGACATGCAAACTTTTTGATACCCAGCAATTTTTATCAGGTAATTTTCAACATGTTGCTATTATCAATGCATTTTTGTCATTCCTAAGGTGTGTGATTACAGTTGCATTTTGTCCTGTAACAGCAGTAGGGTGAGGGAGAGATGGGTGTCACTAATGAATGATCTTCCTGTTACAGGTGCATACATAAGGTACAATAAAATATTAGCTAATCTACTGACACCCCTCCCCCACTTTCTAATAGCATTCACCTGAGAGAGGCCATTGCTTGTTCTGCTCTAGGCTGACAGCTTCTAGTGCACATTTTTGTCTGTCCTTTAATGATGAGCTATTCCTTAAGGTTCTTGTTTCTCTAAGTTGCCCATTTAGTCTGTTTCCTTATGTGTCCAGGGCTACAGTCTTTTTAGTCATATGTGTAACTCTTGGCATGCACAACAATCAAATAATCATCCATGGAACTACATTGGATAATCCCAAACATACCATCTCAACTGTCAATTGAAATGGGCACTGGGTACAGGAAGAAATGGATTGCAATGGACTGCTTATTCAAAATGCACCTCTGAACCTCAATCATGAATTTCCAAGATGAATATTTGGATCTGATTATTTTATGCCTTTTTGCTTTTGAAATGGAATTACCATTAAATAGTTCAGGCTTATTGTACCTCAGATGTAATCATTTTAAACAATCCTGTATGTCAGCACTTTATCTCAAAAGTATGTGAGAGATTAGTATTAGATTGATTCTTTATACTTGCTTTAAGAGTTTTGGTCAGGTTATCCCTGTAGAAGCCAGTTTCAGTTTATTCAAATGGAGTGTGGATTCAGACAACTACTTATAAAACAGTAGTATGCTATGGCGTCAAATATAACCTCTAAGTAAGCCATCATCTATATTGTCTTGCCAAATAGACAGGATTCCCCCCTAAACTATCCAAACACAGCAGGATGTTACAAGTGTGTGATTTACTGTGGCAGCTTATGAACTGGCAAATCATTGCCTATTCTGGAATTATGCCTTGTATTAGAAGTCTGGCTTGCATTCTGCTGCTCGGTTATTGTGCCATTCTCAAGATTTGCTTCAAGGGATCATAGTTTGAATTTTCAAATGCTCACTTCAATAACTATGAGCTGATGGTTCTGGTATCACAGCAGCTCAGCCAACAGCCAGGAAAGCCTTTGCTTGCCCTTCTCCAAAGTTCCTCTGCTTTGGCAGTGGGGGGTAAGTGTCACCTGATCATGATTTCTGGGTTCAGATCCCAGCTCTTGTGGAGATGGGAAAACTGAAGCAGCAGTGAAGTTGAACATGCCGCAAGAATGTTTCTGATAATCCTGCAGTTAAGCAAAGTAAAAATATGTATTACTTGACCAAGTACATGAAATTGCACACAAGGGATTAAGGAGGAATAAGAACTTGTTCATATATGAGCTGGGGTTTGTAGAATTTTTAGACATTTGCCTCTTCTGCTTTCTTAATTCTGCTCTTTGCTTACTTCCCTCATCATATACATGCTCTGTCTTCTTACATAGGCCATGTTATACTGGGGGACACCAAGGCATGTGCTCTGGATTTTCTGAGCTGTGTCCCAGAGCAGAAGTACCCCCAAAGGCCTGCCTCTTTCCCTTGAGCTGAGCAGACTTTCAGTGCCTAGTACACTTTAGGACTTACTCCCTTGACAGACCAGTAGGGGAGTAGTATGAAGGTAAAGGGAGCTCCTTCCTGTCTTTCAGCTCTTACATGCTCAGTGCTGGTTGCAATGAAGGTTTAAAGAGGAAGGGGGAAGGACAGGGAGTGTTCCCGGTCGAACATCGGTATTTCATACCCCATGTGATTTTACCACCCCCGAATGGAACTTCTGAATTCTACAGAACTTCAGTGAGTTCATCACAGCAAGCGATGTGATTAGACTCCACAAAGGTCTTATTTCCCCCTCCACCTTCAACTTCTCCCACGTAGGTGCAGGCAGCACATTAGTGTTATTTTGTTTAACTTACTTACACATTTGCTATCCCATCTATCATTTGTATAAAAAATCCCGAGACAGTTTACAATGTTAGGAACACAGAAACCATTTACAGCACTTAGACCAGAGGAGGGGTCAGACTGCATGTCATCAGGTTGCAGGAAACAATTTGGCAGCTGTGTTCACGGCACTCCATGCGAAGTCTCCCGAGCCCTAACTGTACCCTTACCTGGAGCTGCCTGGGACTGAACTGGACCTTTTGCATGCAAACTGTGCACACTAGCACTGGGCCAGTCTCTCCCAGTGGGGGGCTTAAACAACTTGTATCATTTCATAGAAGGAAATGCCCGCGAGCACCCGATTCACCCTCACACCCCCTCTACACCTACACTTCCCCTGGAAATAGCTCCTGGCTTGGGGAGCTCGCTCCTTCTCCGCTGCACTCTTTGATTCTTTCGCAGCACATCCTGGAATCCACAGGAGCAGAGGGTGGTGTGCATCTGAATTGTACCGCATGCCTTGCAAACAGACAAGAAAATTTCTTTTTCTCCTTATCCTCATCCGATGGTTTAGGGAAAGTGGTTTCACATGGTGGAAGGGGAAGGAAATTAGGGCTGTTTTATTGGCCAGTTGCTATTATCCAAACTTCAATAAAAACAGTTAATAGTTGATATGGGGGTGGAGAGCGAGAGAGAAATGCTGCTCTCCTATAGAAGCATATATAGGTTCAGTGGGGCTTACTCCAGGAAATTGTACAGGGGCCTGTAGCCTGTATTATGCTTACTCAGGAAATAAATTGTGAATTGTGAAGGTTTAATGAAGCTCAGTCCGCAGCACCTTTGCAGCATAGGCCTGAGCATTTGTATTTTGTCATGGACTCTGGCTTAAGTGGTGAGGGCGACTCTTTGAACATGCTCAGTTACACTTTCTCTATAATTTGGCCCTAGTATTGAAAACAGATTCTTTTGAATTGTGGTGAAGTATTGGTATGAATTAAATTCTGGGAGGGAGACAAGAAGAGCTTATATATAGCAAGGAGGAGATAGATCTATTTGATGAAGCATTGCTGGAAAATGGGAAAAATGAGGAGGGATTGTTGTTGGAGGGGAACAGGATGCATGTGATTTCTCAGTGGTAGCTTTCTTGCAAAAGGTGTGGGTGATGCTAAACATCTGAAGAGGGAATGTGGAGGCTTTAATCTGTATGGTGTATATTCCATCACTACTAAGTGTGAGAAGAGTGAGTAAGAGCTAAGTAGTTAACAACATGGCCAGTCTGTCCACATTACTCTAGCCTTAAAAGATTAGCACTAGACACCTATTTATTTCAGGGCCCAATTCAAGCATGTCTTTCTTTAAAGCTCTACATGGCTTGGGGTTCAGATTTCTGAGGTTTCTGCTTCAAATTTTTGCATCTCCCTATCCACGCTTGCTTCCTAGACCTTAAGATCATACTCAGAGTGATTTCCTTCTTGGAAATGTATCATGTAGTCACAATGGAGGCACCTCAGCTTTTGAATGTCCCTCACACCATGCTTCATGGCTGTTTATTTGTATAATCACTCAATTTCAGCCTTTTTACTTGTTGCTTTATTATGGCTTTTTTATATTAGTGTCTTATTGCATCAATTTTACTGATTAAATTATTTATCAGTCTTCCCTAACCTGACCCCTTCAAGATGTGTTGGGCTGCAGCTCCCCTAATTTGCTGCTAGAGAAGACTGATTTATATGGTTGTAAACTGCCCTGGATTCTTATCTAATGAAAATACAGAACTGTTTTAAATAATATTAAGTGGAAAAAAATACAGCTTAGAGCACAGTCTGATCATTTTCTGTTGGTTTTATAGAATTGCAAGCATTTGCCCACCATGGAAGGCCCTTGCCTAGATTCCAGATTGTGTTATGTTTTGGAGAGGAGTTTCCAGATCCACAAAGGCAGAGAAAACAAATTACGGCCCATGTAAGTACAGGATATGCTGTTTATTTAAAACTAGGTGTGTACAGAAACATTAAAGAGACTGTAGGTGGGAATATATAAAGCTGAGGTGAATGTCTTATATTCATATGTTTGAAAAATGGACTCATTTGAAGTATTGAAATGAATTGTGATTTCCAGTTTCATAAAAGCTGAGTGTATCTTAAATCAGCAGCTTAAACCAGAAGCAAAGGTATCAGTTTTAATTATCACTGCTTGGCGATATAATTGAATGTAATCTTCCATAATTATATCTCCTGGCAATTTGCAGTACTAATTTCTCAGTGATTTATATCTGTGGCAGCATGTGGGTTACTGCTCAGTATTTACAGTTCAAATGCTATGAAATTAGAAATCAAATTTCTTGATATTACAGCTAATAAATAAATTATAAACAAGGGGCTTTATGAAAGATCATACATATACTGTTGGCATTTTTGTGACATTATGCACACTAGTAAAGCCATGACTGGCAGCAATACTCTTCTACAGCTTACCATGCACACCATGTGCTCAGTGCCCTTACAAGTAAAAGCATCCTTCCTTTGTGTACTCTTTAAACAAGAGTATTAGCTAACTGCTTCATAAATCCAAGTATGTTGGCTTATAGTGCAGTCCCATACATGTCCACTCAAAGGTGGACCCATTTTGGATTTTAACATTTATATACCGCAATTGTAAGGATTTAAAGTTTTACACAACATGTAAAAGATCAGGCCATGGATCAGGCTGTTCATTGTGCTCTGTGTTGCTTGAGCACGGGCATGAATGTAACATCTTCTGCTCGTGTCCTGCTTGTGGGTCTTCTGTAGGTATCTGGTTGGGCACTGTGAGATCACAGTGCTGAGCTGGGTAGACCTTTGCTCTGATCCAGCGAAGCTCTAAGGCTGCAGCTCCTGCCTTTGAAAACGCTGTCCTGTTGTGGGCATTTTGTGCACACAGTAGTGAGCAACATGTCAGTGCTCCTTCAGGTCTGGATGTGGGAAGAGCTACTGCTGGCTGTCCCCAGAACTTTGCAGCACTGATGTAAAATAGCTCCATATATTCAGAAAGAACTCTACTGAGGGTAGAAAGTTTGGCAGCATTCATAGGTAAATCTTTTGCATTTTGGACAGATCTCTGGTCATAGATATTCATTTTGCTGCTTGTGTTTGCACATGTGTACAGGCTTCTATGTACATGAAACTATGTTAGGTTTCTGTATGATTGACAAGGCAGTCCAGTCTAATGCATCTTTACTCAAGAGGTAATCGTGCAGATTTCAATTAGGCTTATTCCCTAACGTGTACATAAGGCTGTTGCTTGAAAAAAGCATGTACTGTTAGGTTTTAAAATGTTGAACAAGCTAAACAAGAAAGCATTCTGATTTCTTTTTATGTGGATAATTGGAACTACATCACATTGTGTCATCCTATTGTTATCCTGACAATTCCTCAGTATGAATGTGTTAGATATCTTCCCATTAACTCTTTGATTTGTTGTTAAGGTTGAGCCAATGTTTGCAAGACAGCTATACTACTTTGCACAGCAAAACACTGGACCTTTTCTAAGAGGCTATGATGTATCAGAACAAGTCTCCAGTTCAGAAGATTACCACCGATCCATCCACCATTCCTCTGTTCAAGAATAAGCACATGAACTCTGCCAGTCTGAAAGTGAGACATAATACAACAATAACTGGAGCATAACTCAAGGATGCAAACCAGTGCTTGGATTTTTCCAGGGAAGTGAACAACAAAGATGCTCCAGAAATGGATGTGGAGAAGCCTAAAAATGTAGTCCAATGAACACTTGCTTCCCCCTGCTGTTTTTTGGATTGCTGCACCTCCAATTCTGTTGCTGGTGCTAGGTGTGAAAACTGACAAAGTATCTGATATGTTTACATGTTCTTAAATGAAGATGGTGTCCTGTAAGCAAAATGAACTTATTTTGGACTCCTAGTTATTTATTTCATTAGAAATCTCAGGGCAAAATTTTCTAGGCTGAAACAGCAGTTTACTATGGTGCAAAGTAGCAATCAAAATGCATGTTATTTACGAAAAAGACATTACATTGAAGCTGGTATAAGGATGCATTTTTAAAGATTACATTCTTGTCAAAAATGTGCAGAAAATATATTTTTAAAATAGTAGTATAATTCATGACATGTTTTTCATAATTTTAAAATGGTTTTGCTGTTGCTGCTGCTTTTTTAGAAGAGGGACATTTATATCACATTCTGCCTGTAGGGTCCATCAGGATTATTCCTAGGATAATTTCAGTATCATGCAAAGTAATTTGTACTATTATATACCACTTGATCTTTGTTAAACTCAGTAAGCAATTCACGTGTGTCCATGGCAATTGCTGGAGTAAGACTAAAATCCTATGCACACTTACCTGGAAGAAAGTCATACAAAATTTACTTCTGAATAGACATGTATAGGATTGCAGAGACATTTTCAAAAAAAGTAACCAAAGAATGGAACACATATTTTAAATAAATATGTGTATAAATATAATATGCACACAGATAATGAACTCCTCTACAGGTTGCAGCAGTTTGAGCTCAGCACTCCAAAGCAGGGCTGATGCCAGATACAGAAAAGGTCTTGGCACTCAAGCCCACAGTAAAAAATGGCACATATTTGCATGTATTAATTTACATATGCTCTGAAATCTCTTTTTGTGTGTTTCTTCAAAGGACGCTGTCTCCTGAGGACATCCCTATCGTATAAAGGGATGTCTGGACAAGGGAGAGGAGGGCACTGGATTTCTTTGAAAGATCCCATGAAGAAAATTCAGGGGAGGGGGAAACAGGACGTGAAGTACATGTAGGCAAAAAGCCAGCCAATCCAGGGGGACCAGATGCAACCAAGATCCTTGGGACCCTGAGCTTTTCTTTAAGAAAGTACCCATCAACAGCAGGGTGGTGGGAGATGTGGGACTCCCAGAGATTTGGGCTCCAAAAGAAAGACTGAAGGCTTTAGTCCTTGAGAGATGTTCCCTAATGCCACCACTGCTAAAACAGTGTTTGGACTATTTGAAAATTGACTTGATTCTCAGAAGTATTTATGTTAGGTGATAATGTTGACACACCTGTGCCCTATTCCAGGACAGAGTTAATTGCACTTAGGTAACTGCCTGGGTGTGACCATGAGTGATTTGTCATCATTATTAAAAGTAGAGGAAGGACTGTAACTGTGTTAGAATTTGCTTGGACATGTCCATAAATAGTACTGAGAGAAAGCTGAAGTTATTCAGATAAGCTTCGAAGAATTATCTGTGTCAGGAAAGAAGCAGTTAGTATGATTCTATGCACCTGAAAAATGTAGGTGCTTCTATTCTCTGTATCTCTTTATAGAAAAAAATTCTTCTTAACTCTTTAAGTATTTTGTACTTGAATTTCTAATCAGGGACGCATTGTGTATATATTTTTATATGATTGCCATAAGGGTGCTGAAGTTATACATCTTAAAGATGCATGGTTCCTTGGGATATTATACCCATTTCTTTTCCTCCCCAAATGCTAGTTCATTTGAATGTTATTAATGGCATCTCACTTTCTTTTTCCTGAGATAGGCTGTATTTACTAGCACATTTACTGTATTTACTGTAACACATTTACTAGGAGATAAGTCAGGATGGACACAGTGGGACTTACTGCTGAATTAGCCTGCCTAGGTTTGCACTGTTAATCTTAAACAATAAGCCTTGCCATTATATGTTGGGAGTGTAACTCCTCTTTCTCCTCTATTTCTTGTGATCCTCACATTCTTTTTGTTGTCTGTATCAAGTCATAATATAAGAATATTTGTCATGCCAGATACAAAGTTCAGTTTTTTGCTTTTAGTCCTTAAAGGGGTGGTGGCTGGTCTTCTTTCTCATTCATGGCAGAATGTAAAAGATACAAGTGAGAAGTGCTTTGGTCTGAAATACTGTATTTGGAAGTCATATTGGCTTCAATAGAACTCATTTCCAAGTAGTTTTTTCAGGATCAGGTTGCCAGGCATAAAGGGAAAAAGTTTGTAGAGAAACTTTGGAATACATATATATGGAATAGGCTGGTTTATGTGGCAAAGTACTTCAGGGGACTAGATGGATATGGACACTTTAATATATACTGCTGCATTCACAGGTACATAAAAGCTGAGCAAAGGGTTTTAAAAATGTTTTTCTCCTCCGAAGAATGACATGAATACCATTCAAGGGAATTCAGATTCACAGTGTATGTTTATTTGAAAGGACTATGTGCTACCTGAATTAAGAGAGAAAGGGCAAGTCAGACAATCAGTGTTCAGTTTGATGGCCAGCATTCCACATTTGTGTCCATTCACATCTTGAACTCTGTGGTAGAGAAAAACTGATGGGGGCTTGAGCAAAAAGATGCTGCCAGGATCTCCGTCCTCCTCACATCAAAATCATGGTCACCTAAAGATTAAACAAATGCCAGGACTTTGCTACTGGCAGTTTAAAAGAATGTAACTCATTATGTAGTTTGCCCTTAAGTACTTGCTTAAATGTGTAAATAGGAATTCAAATCTATTTTTGGTGAATGGATGTTTCTATATTCTTTTGGGATGCATTATTTCCAAGTTCTAAGCTATTTTTAAAAGAATGTTCCTTTAAATACTATTGAAGCTTAATTCCAAGAGAATTGTGTTGAGGGTTGCAGAAGTGCTAAATATATTCACTTGAGTTGCACTGTGTTTAGTGGAACTTACTCTTAGATAAGTGTGCATAGGAATACAGTGGGACTTACTTCTGGGTAAAAATGTTAGTCATGTTATACTCTGCTCTAACAGCTAATCAATTGCAAAAAATCCTGTCACTCTAGAGAGCAGGTACAGCAAGGCTCTGGTTTAGTAAGGAACATATTTCAAGCCTTACAGTGGACTATCTGTAATCCTAGATTATGCAAAATGTTTAAATGTCAGTGGCTGTAAAGAAGGGTGCTAAAATGTTGAAAGAATTTAAGGCCCTTTGGTTTTCTAAACTATGAGACAGCCCTTTAGATACTCTGGAGATGTTTATTGCTTTTGTGAAAGAGAGTGCTTTTGCAAAAAGCAACAGGGAGCAATGGGAGTGCTGGAGAGGGTTCCAGTCGCCACTCAGCCATGAAGCTCACTGGGTGACTCTGGGACAGTCACTGACTCTCAGCCTAACCTACCTCGTTGTTAGGATAAAATGGAGATGAGGAGAACTTTGTGGGCAGTCTTGGGTTCCTTGCAATGCAACAACGTTTTAATCAGGGATTTTTTGCTAAGTTATAAAAATGACATGGCAGTTTTTAAAAGTGGCTCACTGCTAAAGTCCAGCAGTAGCTGGTCAGATAAAATGTGCTAGTTAGTTCCCAAAGGTCTTAAACATTAGTGAACATACATATCAACTGTGGAGGGGAAGAATAGGTTTCAGTGGTCCCACCCACATGTATGTGTGCGCATGCGTGCACACACCCTTCTGCATACATAAAGCCTAAAATGAGCAAAACTGCCATCCTAGGAATGCACTTTTAAGTGACATGCTGATTATGGTCTGTTGTGTGTCTGATTTTGATGAAATGCACCAATGAATCAGTAATCAGTAGGGCACAATCCAGCCAAAGTTAAGCTCATCTAGCTTGCATTGTTTTAATCTAGGGAAAGTTGAGTATGTACTGTATAGCTATCAAGAGGAAAATCTAAGCATTCAGCTTCCCCAGTGAAATCAACGGGATTTTTCGCATTGCATGGCTCATGCTCCAAGTGTGTGTTTATATGAAACATGCTGCAAAACTGCATAAGGTTGGTGTTTTAAAGGGTATCTATTGGTTTGCCTGGATCACATCTGGGCTGTGAGTGGTTTGTGTCGAGCAGGGATGGGCGACATGCATAAAGGCTTCCTGTCTGCTTCTGAAACCCTCGCCAACCCATTCTCCCCTCTGCTGCAGAATTGGGTGGCACCAAAGTTTGTGGGCAAATTTCACGGCAAACAAAAATGTGCCTGCTATGGAAACAAATCAGGTGGAGTGCCTGCCGTGGGAACCGGGGTCTGAAAAGTGTCTCCCAAAACACCCAGAGTTACCAGCTGGTTAATATAGAGGCTTTCTGCTTTAAATGTTGTGCCTTACCTGTTCAGACTGCATTATGTTGTAAAACTCCTACAAACAGCAGATGATGAAGCTTTTATTTGTATAGTATGTACTGTACCAAATGTTAGAAAATACATTTTTGATTGTTGTAGAAAACGTTGTGGTTACATGTCTATGCAAGGCAGCAGCAAAAATGTGGAAATGGACAAATAGGAGCCAGTACTGAGAAAAGATGGATTGGCTATTGCTGTTTATCACTGATTATTAGCTGTCAGAAAACTGACTCTTTTCTACCTTAAATCTTTAAAACCCATCAGATAAATTCTGATAAATGGGTCAATATGCTGATAGAAACAGGTTACACTTGTTGGTTGCTCGTTTGATTATCTCATGAACAAGGTAAAATAAAGATGACAATCTTTATTAAAATTATTATGTTTGCTATAAATTGTAAATGTTTTTTAAAACTAGGTTTGAGTCACTGTTTTTATGGTTTTAAATGTACTATTGATAAATAAAGTGATGCATTTTTATCTAACCTTTCCCAAATTGTTTCACATTAATGGCCATAAAAAAGCTTCTGAACAATTTCTGGCGTTTGTTTCCAATTCTGCTGTTATTTTTTCTTACTTTTAAAAATCCTCTGAGGTTTTACTTTCTTCCTGCTACTGAAATCTTACCTCAAAAGTTTTACTCCTATTTATTCTAATAATAAAAATGATTTTTCAAACAGTATCTGTGATAAGATGAAAGTCAGTTTTTAATGGGATTCTTAAAGTATTTTGTTAAAATTTCTTGTCAGAAGACACTCTCTTCAGACATGATCTGAATCTATGCTTCTCTGTGAGGTGCCAAACCTTGGCCAAAATTTTTAAAAAAAGGGAAAGCAATTGAAATTTCAGTGGGAGATCTATGTGTTTAATTCTACCACTGAAATAATACAGGACAGGAAATGTTTAGCTGGAACTGTACACCTTGTGAACAGTGACCTGCAAGATCTTTAAGAGTTTTAATCTCGTGTATGTTAAACATAAAAAAGTCCTAACTCCCAATATTTCTCAGCCAGCCATGATTGCTGGGGAATGCCTAGGAGTTTTAGGGATTTTTCCCCTCTATCTTACCTGCATAAGGTACTTAAATAACCAATCTATTAGCCTCTATATTTTAAATGAAGAGATTCAGTGAAAGAACAGAGGATTAACTTGGCCTTTCAAAGGGGCAGAGAAACGATGTTTGCATCATCAGCATTTGTCATTGGCATGGAGGTGGGGAAACACCACAGAGTTTTGTCAAACTGCTTTCAGGAAAAGAAAACCACTGTGTACAGTTTACAAGTTAGAGTAATAGGCAGCCTTCAGATACGGTAAATATGAACTTCCTTTTAAATGAGAGGAAAACCAGCTCAGTTTACCTTGATCTCATTGATTTCATTGAGGACTGGTTTGCAAATGAAGGGTGCCCCACTCTGCACCTCTTTTTCCATGCAGTCATAATGTGGTTATCTGTGCCTTCCAGTTAGTGGGATTTATCTCTGTTAGACTTAG